AGAGAGAGAGAGAGAGAGAGAGAGAGAGAGAGAGAGAGAGAGAGAGATCATCAACCCGAATAAAATCAGCAATATGACTTCAGTGTCATTTTTGAATAATTATCTGTAAGAATTGGAGAGGTAAATCTCTGATACAGAAGCCCAGCTGTGTGATCTTGCCTCCCACCATATCTCCAATGCTTTGCCCCCCCTGCATTTTTTTCATGGTGGTTTTTTATAAAAGTGGTCTCTGCAAAGCTTTTAGAGTACAAAGTGAGTGATTCTTTATATGTTACGGCTGTGTCCATGCAAGATGACATCAGTGTTGTTGAACAGAGATTTCCCATCATATGAGATCAGAGTCTCCAATTATTTGACTGTGTGGTATCTGCATCCAATCTAAGTCAGTCACTGGGACCAGAGGTTTAGTCTTCCAAGCTTTCGGTCTCGTGCTGGAGCCCATTCTCAGGGAACGTCTCTTTAACATAATGTGTGCTTTGGGCTATTCTAGATGTATTATTTATGTGGTAGGACCAGTGGTGGAATTCAAAAAATTGTACTACCCGTTCTGTGGGTATGGCTTAGTGAGTGTGGCTTGGTGGGCGTGGCAGGGGAAAGATGTTGTAAAATCTCCATTCCCTTCCCACTCCTGGGGGAAGGATGCTGCAAAATCCCCATTCCCTCCTCACCCCACTAACCTGCTTTCCAGCTCCATCCTCCTATGCAAGGCAACAAAAGAAGACCCAGCCAATCAGCTGGGACTCGGGAGGCAGAGAATAGATGAGGGCAGGGCCAATCAGAGGTGGTATTTGCCGGTTCTCCTAACTACTCAAAATTTCCACTACCGTTTCTCCAGAACTGGTCAGAACCTGCTGAATACCCACCTCTGGGTAGGACAAACGGGGAGGAAGCTAACCACCAGATTGCAAGAACTCAAGGGAATGGTCAGACAAGGAGACCCGAACTCATTGGTAGCCTCAGATTGCAATGAAATTGATACATTCAATTTTTCAGCTATTAAGATTGTTGGCCGAGCAGGTACAAAAATAGCCATGGAAATGATTGAAGCCTGGGAAATGGGCCCTTTGTCAGCCAACGGGAGTGCTGATTTACCACCAGTTTATCAGGTATTTAGGAGCCAAGGACTTGGCAGCACAAAGAAACAACAGCCGATGACTTAGTAGTCAGATATCAACACCCCATCAACAAATAAAAAGCCACACACAACCAGACACCACATAAATACTATGCATAGAATAGCCCAAAGCACATATTCTGGTAGAGAGAATTTCCCTGAGGATGGGCTCCAGCACTAGTCCAAAAACTTGTAAGACTAAACCCCTGGTCCCAGTGACCAAACTCAGATTGGATCCTGCCCCATTATCTCGGGACACATAAATTTGCTTTCATTTATGTGGTGTCTTTTTTTACTCCGTTCAACTTTTATAGGCAGTTATTGGGGATTTTACATTTTATTAGGCTACATGGGGAAAAGAGGGTAGGGGTCCTTTCTGATCTCATCATGCATGAGTTGCATGTTGACAGGCACCAATAAGAATTGATTGAATGATTGGTGGAATGAATGAATGAATGAATGAATGAATGAATGAATGAATGAGCAAACTTGAAAATGCATTAAGTATCTGGCAGGGACGCAGGGACCAAGCCATGTTGAATCCATGAAGAGTCCTGGTAGCTCTGCCGCAGGGAAGAGATGGATAATATGTGGATCTCCAGATGTTGCTGAACTACGTATCTATCTATTTTTTATAAATAAACCTGGCATCTCTCACCACTGGCCATATGAAATGGAGCCCAGCCAATCACTTTTAGATTAACAGAGTTGGAAGAGACCTTGTAGGTCATCTAGTCCAACCCCCTGCCCAAGCAGGGAACTCTACACCATTTCTGACAGATGGCAGTCCAATCTCTTCTTGAAAGCGCCGATGTTTGAGTGCATTTCTCTAGTTGGATACTATAGAAATGATCCCTGAAAGTATGGTCTGTATACTATAGTATACAGCATAGCTGCTGGGAATTGTACTCCAGCAACATCTGAAGAAGTTGTCCCAAAGGTGCTTTTCCAAAAGGCAATCGGACTTTCTTGGTGAGATGGAAAGAAAGTCCAAAAAAGTCCAGTTGCCTTTTGGAAAAGCAACTTTGAGACAACCGTAACCTGGATGATGGAGATTCTCCATAAACATCTCAAGCAGCTCCATCTCTACTCTAAAACATGAGAAAGAGAAGAACCACTTAGAAGAATGTTGGAAGAAATGTTCATCTGGGTTCAGGTCCAAGTAGGAAAAAAGACACTGGAAACATGGAGGCTGATTGGAAAGATGGTTTAATGATGAAACAGAACCACCAAGCACGTGTGATTCTGGGTAGCTGCCCACATGGAGTTGAGAGTGAGGGGTATTTATATCTTCTCTTGGGCTTTGCGCTTGAGCTTCCTGTTCCTGTGCAAGAACATGAATTCTATTGGCTGTTGTAGGAGTCATAGCTGACTCTGTACGTTGTCTGAGGTAAGTTTGGTTGAGGTTTGCTAGGGGTGGTGCAACTGAGATGGTGCAATGAAGGAGCTTGTGTTCTGAAAAGGTGTTGGGCAATTCCTATTATGGCTGAGGGCTAGCCCTACCTTTGTTCAGACCTTGCTGCAGGGAGTAATGGATTCCCAAATCTGCATTTCTAAAAGCTGGCCTCAGCTTAGTATCTGCTTGGGGCAGGGAGGTGGAGCAGAGGTGGTATTCAGCAGGTTCTGGCCAGTTCTGGAGAACTGGTAGAGGAAATTTTGAGTAGCTCGGAGAACCGACAAATGCCACCTCTGACTGGCCCTGCCCACATCTATTCTCTGCCTCCCCGAGTCCCAGCTGATCGGTTGCATCTTCTTTTGTTGCCCTGCACAGGAGAACGGAGCTGAAAAGCAGGTTAGTGGGATGGGGAGGGAATAGGGATTTTGCAGTATCCTTCCCCTGCCACGCCCACCAAGCCACGCCTACAGAACCGGTAGTAAAAAAAATTGAATCCCGCAACTGAGATAGAGCTCCGAATTTCTGTCTCCCTTAGGATTTTTATTTCTCTTCTGGGGGAAATATTTTACCCTGCCTTTTTAATATTTCTCAAAATATTTCATTTTTCTAGGAGAGGGATGAGTGCTAACTTTCTACTTTTCCATATCTTAACTCGCGCTCAGGCCTGTTTTCCTTTATCTCCCACAGACAGCAAGCACAGATTCCCATGGCAACTGCCGGTGTCGTCTACCCGGGAGCCATCGCCATGACGGGAATGCCCTCCCCGCATCTCCCCTCCGAGCATTCAAGTGTATCCAGTAGCCCAGAACCTGGGATGCCCATCATCCAGAGCACTTACGGCATCAAAAACGAGGAGACCTCTCACGTCAAAGAGGCGATCCAGAGCGGGGACATCAACGGTGAAATGTACGAAGACGATGAGGATGAAGACGACGACCCCGATGTGGACTACGGCAGCGAAAGCGAGAACCACATCGCAGGACAAGCCAACTGATCTCGGGGGGGGTCCCCCATTCTTGGTTTTTTTGACCTCGGAGGACTTTTAACGGAGAGCCCCACCGTCTGGTTTCTTACCCAGTGGCCAAGCACACAAACATTTTATCCTCACACACTGACTGTTACTTTAAAACAAAAACTTTTTAGTCTTAACTAGTTGGGACATCCGCTGATCAGGAGAGATCAGCTTGCGTTGAGAACTTTGGAAAAACAAGGAAGGGATTCTAAAAGAAAAAAGAAAAAGAAAGAAAGACAAAAGGCTCAGAGGAAGAAACCCTATCGAGGAAGTCAATAATGACAAAAAGAAAAACAAAAAAAGGACAAAAAAAAATAAGCTATGGGTAACATAATGCCAGTAATTCAGCTGCTATACCCAAGCACTGAAGTCTTACCCGTTCAACCTTTTATTATTATTATTTTTTTTCAAATAAACTTTATGGCTATTTGTTCTATAACGTTCTAGAAAATTCTCACTCAGGTACACAGTGCCAACAAGTGGCTTGTGAATGTGTTCTGTTGTTTTGTGTACAATTTAAAGAAAAATTGAGATTTTGGGGGTGGGGTGGGATTGGGAGAGATAATGAATGCATCTGGTAAGAGGGGAGGGAGAAACGATACGGTTCTTTCGATCCCTCCCCTTCCTCGTGTTTCCACCATCTTTTCTTCCACCTTTCCAGAATTAGACTTGCAAGCACGTTACGCATCTGGCAGGGACGCAGGGACGAAGCCAGGTTGAGCCCATGGAGAAACTGAGCCATGGTGGCATCTGCAGCAGGGACGAGAACCTAAGGGTTATTGTGTAGAAAAATCAAGATGCTGGAGATTGAACATTTAGGATCTGCTCGGAGCCTTTGGTGTCTTATGCCAGTGCCAATGGGATACTGTGCAGGATGCAATAAACATTTGCATTAATTATATCATTTGCAGCCCCCACTTTTGGTCTTATCAATGTACCTTATGCCAGGCCAGGCCACGTAACCTTTCAGAACAGGAATTGGCCCTCAATCTACCTTCAGAGCTTTTGAAATCAGAATAGAAATGACTTGTTCCTTCCCAAAGCTCTCTGCATGAGACAAGACTGGAAGGTCCCATAAAAAGTGGACAGTATCCAGTTTGGATTCTTCCCCACCTGATGTCAGCTGTGTGATCCTTAGCTTATTAGCCCAGTGGAAATGTAACTCTTGACTGAATATAGGTTGCCCAGTGTTCGTCTAGATCGGTTCATCTTAGTCTAGTAGACAGTGGGTTCTCAACCCCTCCCAAATTCTGAATGTCAGCCTTTCTGCAAATCAATTGATGGTCCAGCAATCAGTTATGGTCTTTTCACAGAGAAAGACATACATTAATTAGCCAAAATGCAGTTGGTTGACTGGATATCTGTCCTTCGTGTCATCATCTTCACAAAGGTATTTTCAGTTAGGCGGTCTTGGTGCTCTCTCCAAGCTTGGTTCTTTTCTTGCAGAGGATACATTACCCAAACTAGGTAACATCATCAGTGCTGGAAGCCAAGTCTACTCTCTTCTAGCACTGATGATATTACCTAAATGGTATAAGGTTTCGTGCTTGAGCAAGGAGCTGGGCTAGGAGAGCTCCGAGGTTCCCTTCCAATTCTGTCATTCTGTTAAACGCTAAGCCTTCGGTTGGGTAATGAAACATGTGCAAGAAGATAACCAAGCCCAGAGAGCATCAAGGATCCTTCATTTTAACCCTGAGCTTCAAGTATTCTCCTTTATTGGTCCTTTTGGACTGGATCCCAAAGTGATTGGGTCCCCAAATCAGAATATCTTAGAAAGACTCCCATCACCTCTTCCCATTTCGATCTTCTCAGCCATTCCTTTCATTTGATGTTTATAATCCTGACTGATGAGCAAATTCTGCTACATGGGTTGCAGTTAGACATATCTCTGTTGTAGCCACCCCAAGCAACTAGCCAATCAGCCTCTTCCTTTCTAGGAAAGTCCTCCTTTTACCTTTTTCACCAATTGCAGTCCGGGTCAAGTTTTGAGCCAGTGCCAAATCTGTACTAATGTGAGAAAGTGATGTCTATTCCATATTTTCTTTTCTCATTGGTTGTCTTGATTGTCTTTCTTTCATCTTGTCTTCAGTCTTAAATTAGAGAAGCATTGTGTCTTAGACAATTCCTTGAAGAAGGCCATTGCCAGCACCTGATAAGGTTAGTTCTTGTTGTTTCTTTAAAAAAAAACAAAAAAAAACTTGAAGTGATTCTCAGGTGAATCAAATCCATATAGAGACTGGCAAACTTTGTGTGTGTGTATGTGTGGCTTTGTGTGTGTGTGTGTGTGCGCGCGCGCGCACGTGCGCGCATGGGTTGTGTGTCAATGGTTTAAAGCAGAGGTCTCCAAACTTGGCAACTTTAAGACTTGTGGACTTCAACTCCCAGAATTCTTCAGCCAGCTATGCTGGTTGAGGAATTCTGGGAGTTAAAGTCCACAAGTTTTAAAGTTGCCAAGTTTGGGGACCCCTGGTTTAAGGGGATCAAATACTATGCGGTTGTGAGAGCAAAATTGAATGATTCGATTGTATTCACAAAAAGTTTGAGTCTGTATGGTATCTGCAAATAGGTAGGTATAGAAACATAGAATTTTTTTTCCAGAGGAACGGAAAAGGAAGAAGCAGTTTCCTAATCAGATCACTGGAATGAAAAGAAAAGGATTGGCCAAAAGTTTCTGTCCAAATTTTCAGACCTGCAGTTGCATCTTTAATAGGATGGGAGCTGAGTCTATATCTTAAATGTCACCCCAATAATGTTTTGTGTGATCTGTGGAAATCTCATGGACCCTGTGTGTGATTCACCTAGCGCAGGGGTGTCAAACTCAATTTCATTGAGGGCCACGTCAGAGTTGTGATTGACTTGGGGGGGCCAGGGTGGGTGGGGCCGGGGTGGGTGTGGCCAGATCAATGTCACTTGTGTCGGAGGTACCTGTGGTGGCGCGAGCACTCTGCCAGCTAAAACTGGCTTCCAAACTCTGCGAGGCCAGATCTAAGCACTCTGCGAGCCGTATCTGGTCCCCCGGGCCTTGAATTTCAACACCCCTGAACCTAGCAGGTCTGTCTTCTTGCTTTCCTCGTGTTGTGATTAAGTGCAGAAGCTGAAGCTTTCGCCCCGTTTCCTGTGGTGCAAAATATGGCTTTTGAAGAGACGGGCTAGCCATGCGTAGGAGATGCCCTCCTGTCACTGGCTACTCTCTTTGTGGTTTCGGGGAACATCTATTAAGCCAGAGTAATTTGTTTCACAAGCCAACCTGGTCTAAAGCATTGGCATTTCAGACACGCGTTGAGACCTACCTTCTGCTCAAAAGCCACTATTAGAATGCAAGATTTCCTGCCCTCAGTCCAGGGGTCTGCAACTTGTGGCTCTGGAGCTATATGCGGCTCTTTCGGCCCTCTGCTGCGGCTCCCTGTCGGCTGATCCCACCCCTGGCTGGCCCCTCCCCTCCCCATCACTCCTCACCTGGCTTGAGAAGGTAAGGGTGATGGTGGGGGGGGTGGAGATTCCAGAGCAAGAGATGACTGGGTGGGAGTGAGTGATGTCATTGGCCACACCCACCCAGTCACACCAGTTGTTAAATTATTGGCTGAGTGAGTTGGCCACACCCACCCAGTCACTCACTATTGGGAGTGAGTGAGTTGGCCACACCCACCCAGTCACACCAGTTGTTAAATTATTGGCTCCTGGCATTTTCTTTTCTGTGGGAATTGGCTCCAAATGGCTCTTTGAGTGTTTAAGGTTGCGGACTCCCTGCCTTAGTCCTACAGTTTATTCCTATATCGAAGGACGTTTGGTTGTATAATCCTGGAGTTTTGGTGACACTGATTGAAAGACAGTTGACTGCCGGGGTCTGTTGAAGGTTGCCTGACTTGTGTAAACTTTGGCTGTCTGTTGGGATGAAGATGGAAAGAAAACTTTGAATAAGTGGGTTTAATGTTCTCTTATTTTCTTTTTTTCCTCTCTCTCTTTCTCTCCTCTCCCTTCTCTCTCTCTCTCTCACAAGATTAGTTTGAAGCACTTTGATGACCATAGATTTAAGGATTGCAGGTGGCTTTGGCCAATCTCGTAAATGAAACTGATAACAGATAACAGATTAACAGAGTTGTAGATCATCTAGTCCAACCCCCCACCCCAGCAGGAGACCCTACACCATTTCTGACAGATGGCAGTCCAATCTCTTCTTGAAAGTCTCCAGTGATGAAGCTCCCACAACTTCCGAGGGCAACGTCTCTTCCATGGGTTGATTGTTCTCACTGCTGATAGAAGTAGGGAAGTCAAGGGTGGCAGGTGCATTGTGCCAAATGGTTTATTACAAGTACAAATCTTATATATAAGTCCTATACAGGTAGTCCTTGACTTACAACATTTCCAGTGACCATTCAAAGTTACGACAGCACTGAAAAAAGTGACTTATGGCCATTTTTCACACTTATGACCATTGCAGATTCCTCAAAGTCAAGTGATCGAAATTCAGATGCTTGGCCACCGACTCCTATTTATGACGGTTGCAGTGTCCCACGGTCATGCAATTAATCTCCTTTTCTGACCTTCTGACAAGCAAAGTCAATGGGGAAGCCCGCATTCTCTTAACAAGCATGTTACTAACTTAACAACTGCAGGGATTCACTTAACAACTGTGGCAAGAAAGTTCATAAAAATGGGGCAAACGCTCTTAACAACTGTCTCACTTGGCAACAGAAATTTGGAACTCAATTGTGGTTGTAAGTCAAGGACTACTTGTATAGGGATTATGGGAAAATGTAGCATTCCAAAGAAGAGATGGAACAAGTTCTTGCCTTTCTAATTGGAGAGCTTCAGGCTGGTGCTTTCGGCTTCGTGCTTGTGCGAGCAAAGCGTGATCGGAGCTGCCATCTCTCTATAAATACTGGTGGGGAGGTGTGGTCTATTGAATAAAATAAAATAATAAAATAATATTACAAGTAGTCAATGTAAGGCAAGGAGGAGAAAGTTGTTACACAAAGAGCAAGTTAAACCTACCACCCTAAATTCCATTTAATACCATGTTTCTCATATAATAAGGCCGGGTCTTTTTTTTTTTTTGAGCCCCGAAAAAATGGCTAGGCCGTCTTTTCGGGGGTGACTTAATTCCTCCCCCCCTTGCATCTTCGGGCGGGCGGCGACGGCTTGGATGTTGACCTCGGCGTTGGTGGGGCACTTCGTATCGGGGTCAACGCAGGCAGCACCATATCCAGGTGTGCAACAAAAGTACTTCCTAACGGCAAGCCCCCCCCATTCCCCCCCATTTCGCATGTTTTAATATAGGCCTTAATTTGGGGGGAGGGGCTTAATTTCATTTCATGCCTATAAAACATGCTGGGACTTCCTATTGGGGGAGGCCCTACTGTTGGAGAAACAGGGTAAATGAGCAGCAGCAGA